TTGATCAGATCTCTTCATTTCCTTATGCTCCACCACAGCCTGAATGGACAACAAAACCAACCATCATTCACATAAATAGACAAGCAAACACACATTTATATGTAACATACAACGAACCGATAGGAAAATTAATGTGAAGTTGCTTACCTCTGGAGGTGCATCTAAACAGGTCAAATGAACAACATTTCCATCAGTACCTACTTCATTGACAATAAAATCAGAATACCTACAAATACAAAACCAAAATTAGAAATTATCTAATTATGAGGATAAGTTCCCTTTTTACCTTCAGGGGGTTTGACTTTTTTATAGGTAGAGCTGTCTTGTTTGGAAAACAGAGACCTCCTCTCTAAGGAATTTTCTGATAAAATTTTTTAAACTTCAAGGGAGGCCTCTGATAATTTTAGGAGAAATCTGTGACCATGTTAAGAGTTTTTCGAAATTAATGAGGTAGTCTATATTTTAACCAAATCTCATGGGAGATTAATGAACTTTTCCCTCATCATAATCCACTACAAACTCTTCATTTATAATAAAACCAGCATATAAGGTAGAAATTAGTCATAAAGACACTGCAATTGTTAAAAATGATACGGCAGCCATTGCCGCATATTCTATTTTAATCCATTTAATTTTTATTTCACTCTTTCAAATAAACACACATTAACGTTCATTTCTTTGAATTTTCTTCCCAAACCAAACATATCCAGATGGTAAAATACTAAAAAAATTTAAAATATGACACTACTATAAATGCAGACAGCCAAGTGTGTGCACTACAGAGATGGTGACAACCTTTGTTTGAGGATGCCACGAAAACCAGGGAGGTTGGAGATGAAGCAGAAAATGCCGACGTCAGATTCATCAAGGGTTTTCATTTTTACTGTTGTTAGGGTTTTGTTCAATACTCTGGAGACAGCGTAGTTGCAGAGCGAGTAGGGTTTTAGAGCTGAGAATGACAACGATACAGGATTTCTCCACATTTTCACTTTGCTAAGAAACGCTCGTTTTGTCAGTTAAATTCAGGTAAATTACACATAAACCCCTGTAACATAGCCTATTTATTTAAGGTGAGTTTGGTTCAGAAAACGTTGTATTACTGAACATGTTATATTAATTGAAAGATTCCTTTGAGGATTACTGTGAATGTTTAAGAAAATATGTTTGGTTAATTTGAAATAAATTAGTGGGTATGTTATATAGATTACTGATTTGCCCTTTTATTTTAATAATAATATTATTATTAGATTATATTTTTTTAACCCTCTACATTTAAGAATTTACTAAACACCCTCACAACAAAAATTTAAAAATTAACAAAAGCACCCCAACTACCTAACAGGACAGCCGGCCATCGGACGGCAATTGGCAGTCACCGGAACGGCATATGGCCAACCGAATTTGGTTGCTCATGCGTAGATTTAGCCAAATAGATTTGGCCGAAAACGGCCAGATCTAAACATGATCGACTATATCCAATTGGTCATACGTCGTTCCGACCACGTCGGGCCAGTGTTGGTAGCTAGCAAGTAGCGATGGTCTTGGGTAGCCTACAATTTGTTTTAAATATAAGGATATTATTGTCCAAAAACTTAATTAATTACAGATAAAATTGTAATGGCATGTTCATGTAAATTAATTTCAAAATAAGGGCATTATTGTTTTAAATTTTTATTAATAAGGGGTAAAATTGTAACAAAAATTAGATTATAAATAATCTCAAAATATCTAAGAAAGAGGTGATAAACATATTACCGCCTATATAACTAACAATGATTACTATTGGTATTAGAGGATTACTAGAATTTTATATTATTTGACAACCAAATATGGTAATATAAAGTAGTATAAGATGATATTACTGAAGTAATGTCAAATACCCTCCAGCCAGACGCATCCTTATGGAAATCCATCAAATAAGCCCCATTTTGCAACAAAATCAAATCATACTTAATTTCAAAAGAAACCCCTTTACTTCCAAAAATATCAAAAGAAACCTTGATATTTCAAATATCATTTAAACTAAGTTCTTACCAAATATGTAAAAAGCACCCATATGGTGCAAATATATTAAAGCCCTTAAATTTACAAAGATACCAAAACAACCTCGACGTGCAAAATATCAATTAAGTATCCATACTTGAAAAAAATAAAAAGCACCTACGATGTGTTAGATATCATTTACACACACGTAATCACCATTGCATATACTTGGCACACTAGGTGAACCAAGTGGGTATGGATCGAGTCATCGTGGATACGGGTAAAAAAGGTAAGGATCCAAAAAGTCCTAATTCTATACGGGTAATGAAATTTAAACCCGTATGCTACCCTATATGAGTACGGGTGGACCCACGGGTACCGTTTATGCAACAACTTCTTTTCCTTTCATTTCTCTATTTCTTTATCCAACTTCTTAGCATCAAAAAATTTCCGTCAAGCGCACATCAATCTCTGTGTTTAGGCCTCATTTCATCCATAATTTTCACCACCAATTCATCAAACTCAATAATTCTCAAGCCAACTGCTAGTAAACAAAACATGGGGAAGAACAGTTGCTCTTTTTTATAAAGGAACAATCAATCATACGAACAATATCAGCTGAACACTTCAATTTTCTATAAAAATCACACCACCACAATTTAAACAACTCTTGCAAATTCATTTCAAGTTTTCAACACACAACCAGCTCAATTTCACATCTATTTTGAGGGCTTTGAGTTTCTTCAAAATGGGATCGACACTTTTTGATCTTTTGGAAACGATGGTGATCTAATAAGCTAGTCTCTTCATGGTTAGAAAAATGGCAGATGGCGGTGATCTGATCGACTAGTCTCTTCACAATAAGAAAAACGGCTAACGATGGTGATCTGATGGATTGGTCTCTTCATGATGGTGATCTTTTGGATCTTTTAGAAGGGCTGTGCGGCTGACAGTGATGCGGGTGTATGGGTGTGGCTAGACTAGCTGTGAGGCTGTTTTGGGTAGACTTGGAATGAATTTGTGTGAAAAGAATTAGAAATTTAGAATAAAGGAATTTTTATTAATTTTTTTTTTTTTTTTTAAATGTGGGTATACCCGGTCTACCCGCTACAAAAGCGGGGGTCCGAGTATGGGTTCACTATTCACGGGTCCTTAAGAGTATACCCGTACCCTATGTATAATTGATAGGTACAGGTCTACCCACGGGAATAAACCCATTTTGACAGGTCAACAATGCAAGATCCACCCTCTCTTAGACAAATATCAATGAAGCCATTTAATTTTAAAGATATAACAACGCGCCCAGTGTGCAAAATATTTTAAAGAATTAAGGCTTAATTACTTGACAAATTACAAATGCACCCTCAATGTGTATTAGGAGCCCATGTACTTACAAATGTATCAAAAGCACTCCTTTTTTTGTCAAATATCAACTACGCTGGCTAATTTAAAATGGTAACAAAAACACCCTCGACATGTTAAATATATGTTTAGTCTATGCACTTAACAATGTATCAAAGCTCCCTTGAAAAGCCAAATATTAGTTAGGCCTGTCAGTTTAAGAATATATCAAAACATCCTCAACGTGCCAAGTATCGTTTTGTCCCTTTAATTGACGAAATGTCAAAGCACTCTTGTTAACTATTAGGTAAGCCCATGTACTTAGCCATATATCAAAAGCACCCTAGAGAAGTCAAATATTAGTTGAGCCTGTTACTTCAAAAAGATTTCAAATACACACTTGACGTGTTAACTATTGATTCAGTCCCCTTACTTGATGAAACATCAAAAGCACCATTATGTTGTGAAATATCAGTAAAACCCGTAACTTACAAGGGTATCAAAAACAACCTCAACTTGCCAAATATTCATTCAGCACCTGTACTTGAAAAAAATATCAGAAGCACCCTTTATTTGTCAAATTTTTAAGCCCATGTACTTACCATTATATCAAAGGCACCCTTGGGTTGTGAAATTTTATTTCGCCTATTCTTTTAAAAATTTATCAAAATCAACGTCCTCGTGCTTCAGCCTCTTCACTTGCCGAAATATCAACCAAATTATTTGACCCATCTACTTTCCAATAAATCAAAAGCACCCTTGGTTGATATAAATTGATTCCCTCAGTTTACAAATATTTCCAAAACACCTTCGGTACTGTAAATATCAATCATTCAAAATTACCCTTGATATGTCAAATATCGTACATGCCCATGTACTTACATATACATCAAAAGTACCCTTGTGTAACTATTATTAGATCCATTTTACCGAAAGATTCAAAACACCCTTGATGTTTCAAATATCATATTGACTTTACTACAATAACAAGAAGCTACCTCAATATGTAAAATACTATTTAAGCTCATACAGGAACTAGATTTTTAGATAATCACATAGGGCTTAGGGGTGTAATCGAGCCGAGCTGAGCCAAGTATTTGGTTACTCGAGCTCAGCTCGACTACTATAGTATCGAGCTAAAGCTCGAGTTTGAGTTTAAGCTTGGTCAAGCTTGAGGTGTGGAGCTCGAGCTTGACACTGAAAAAGAGAACCCTATATTAGTTTATTTAAGGTAAGCCCTGTACTTTATCTAGATATCAAATGCACCCTTATGCTGTAAAATCAAATAAAACCTCTATACTTTACTACTAGAGTAACACTAGCCTTATAAAGAGACATACAAATAGATAATCTCTACCCCTTAAAAGAAGGGAAAAAGAGAGAGAAAGAGAGAGAATCATGAATTTTAAGGATATGAATTGTTTCTTTGTATACCTCTTTGTAAGACTAGTGTTACTCTTACTAGTATATAGGTTCGGTACTTGTAGAATCTAATCAAAATTACCATTAGAAAATTAATGCCTGCACACATAATATCAAAATAGCCCATGCTTTGTAAAATTTTAATAACCCTTTTGTTGAAATTTTAAACAAATAAGCTCATGGCCCTTTTTCAGTTCTACGGTTTTACTCAAAAGTACTTCCCTAAAAAAAATCTACCGACCAAACGCAACTTGGCCTTCAACAATAATTGGAAGCGGGTACACCAACAAAACACACAAAAGAACTCCCAAGTCAATTAACAATCACAAACAAACATACATCAAACTAATAAGAGATCCAAAAGCAAAGAGACACCACTTCACATTGTTATTTTCACACACACACACAGACACGCACAGAGAGATGGTGACCAAGACAGAAGAGACCCAATTGAACAGATTGGAGAACCAGGTTGATAATGGCGGAGGAGGGGCTTGGGAGTATCTTTGTTTAGTAAAGAAGCTCAAGGTTAGACGTCCTGAGAAGGTCTTGAAGCATGGCTTATCGATCTTGAATGACCCCAAGAAGCGATCCAGTCTTGGCCCAGATGGTTAGTTCTCTTGATTTCTTCAATTGGGTTTTGTTTTGTTTTGTTTTTGGAATTGTTCCATTGAGCTCGACTTTTAAGTTTTTTGATCTGTTCAACGGTTTTCTGTGGTGGGTTTGAGATTTCGAAGCTTGATTTGGATTGGATGTGATTCGTATGGCTTGCAGATGTAATTACTAGTGAAAATTCTGTTGATTTGTTGAACTGGGTTTATGAGATTTTGAAGCTTGTTTTCAATTAGGTATGAGAAGGAAGTGGCAGTACAGTCTATAAAAGTTTAGGTATTTTTGAGTTAGTTGATTTGATTGATTTGTCACATGTGACATTGAAGCCTTGATACTTGATTGAATTGAACAGAGAATTTGTGGTTTGTTGTTTTGTTTTGTTCGATTGTGTGTGTTTTTGATTGTTGAAGTTCATTTCAATTTGGTCAGTAAGATATTTTCTTTTTCAATATCGATAACTTTTATGTGTCATTGGGCTTAGGTTTTTTAATTTTTTTAATTTATTATATTGACTGAATTTTGAGTAATTAATTTTTTTATTGATATAATTAGCTAGCATTGGAACTATTGTTGGAAATACCAATTGGATCTTAAGCCTTTGATGTGAAATTCATGGTGAAAGGTCAAGGAGAATCAAGAAGCAGAAAAAGGAGAGAGAACCTTTTTCCTTAATACACTTTAAGATTTTGTATCTTTAGGATTACTTGGATGACCACTTTATGGATCCTATTGGTAGTTAGTTCAATCTGCAATTTGGATACAGTATTCTATTATTTTGCCAAATTGTGATTCATAGTATAGGCTCAATTAACACTTTTTAAATTGTTGTTCTAGTTGTGTTTCATCAATGTAACTTTTTAAATTGTTGTTTTAGTTGTGTTTTATCAATATAATATATTTGCCTGCTAGCTGTTTCTGGTTGTTGTACTGCTTTTCATCCATTCAAATATTTGTGACCAACAAATACTTGTTTTTTTGATGCAGAATGGACACTGTATGAACAGGTATCAATTGCAGCTATGGACTGTCAATGTCTTGATGTTGCGAAGGTTTGTTCTTCCCTTTTTAAGTTTTTCCTTTTTGGATTCTTTTCAATATTTTTTGTGTACTGTAACAAAGTGATTATAGATTTGTTTTCGTTCCATGATTTAGTTTCTCAGAAATGCCAGTTGAACCACAAAAGTGGTTTCTACTTCTGGATATTGTGTTGCAATGGCTATCTGCTGCTGGAAATGCATTGTAATCATAATTTCACATTGATTTTTGTATTGTTTGGACAAAATTTCTACTTCAAGCCTACTTCCTTAAGTTAGTTTTTGGATTCTGTAAACTGGTCCTTTTTCTTTATCATTGCCTTGATGTTGCATTTTTCCAACTTATGTACTTTGCTTATTGGTAGGTTGTTTTTATGAGATTCTTTCTTTAATTTCACAGGACTGCATTAAGGTTTTGCAGAAGAAATTTCCAGAGAGCAAAAGGGTTGGTGAGTTGAACAACCATTTTCTCCAAATTATTACATTTATGTCTTAGTTTCTATGGGAAAATTATCCATGCATAAGCTTGCTGTGTTGGTCATTGTTAAGTGAAGAGTGATGCTGATGCCTTTAATGGCCGGTAAGCTTACTGATGGGCTGACATCCCTGAGGACCTTCAGTCTAAATCTATTTTTATTACTGCAGACACACTTTAGTATCAATAAATGTGCTTAGTTTTTTCTTCTTGACATGGTCATTCTGTAAATTGCAAACATTTTGAAGATGAATGGTCAGATTCTTAATTGGCTGCCTTGCTGATCAGTCCATAAGTGTTTAAAGCTTAATGCCTATCAACATGTGCATAGGCAAGTTTGCTCATATATTAGTTCTTTATTTGCATGAATCACAGGAAGGTTAGAGGCTATTTTGCTTGAAGCAAAGGGATTGTGGGCAGAGGCAGAGAAAGCCTACTCAGGCCTTTTAGAGGATAATCCACTTGATCAGGTAAATTCTGTAACTGATTCTGCATAAATGAATTTCCTTTTCTGTAAGAATGGAGTATATTGACTGTTCTATCGTTCCTGTGTGAGAAATATAATACTTTTTTATCTGGAAAGTGAAGAACTGTTTAATGCCGAACAATGTGATGTTTCTGAAACAGGTATTACATAAAAGGAGAGTATCTATAGCAAAGGCACAAGGTGACTATTCAGGAGCCATAGATTTGCTTAATAAATATCTGGAAATGTGAGTTTCTCTCAAGCCTATTCTTCCCTTCCTTTTCTGATAATATATAAACAAAACAGATATGGCTAAGCTGTTGTATTTCCACTCTTTTCAGATTTATGGCAGATCATGATGCCTGGAGAGAACTTGCCGAAATATATATATCATTGCAAATGTGAGTGCTCTTCCAACTCCCCCTAAATTGTCCTTCCTCTATCTTGTGTTTACTCTTTGTTTCCTCCCATAGCTTAGTTTTCTTTGTGTTTGTAAATTAGGTACAAACAAGCTGCTTTTTGCTATGAGGAGCTCATACTATCGCAGCCAACTGTTCCACTTCATCACCTAGCGTATGCTGATGTGAGTGCCTTCTTTATTTCTTATTACCAGTTATTGATTGTTTAATGAAATATTTCCTTCTTTTTTTGGTTTTTATGATAGAGATATTACTGGGGAGTTCAAAGATCCTGTATTTGAATAGTTTAAGAAAGTTTTCTTGTGTTCTGTACGCTAAAGCAACTGCCTCTTAAACAAACTTCTTTTCTTTTATCTCTTAAAACTTAATCCATCATCTGAATGGGGAACAACTTCTAGAAATTTAGTGATTGATGACAAAATGGTTTTTAGTCTTTAATGAATTATGTTTCTGTGTTTGTGCATTGAATACCTTTTGCCTTCAGAGAGCATTTCTCTGCTCACAGAAAGAGGGGGAAAGAGCTTACTACTTTTGTTTATTGTTTTCAATATTTTCTGTTTTCTTCTGGAGCATTTCCCCCTCCACTGAAGAAAGGGAGAATAAGTATGTGGATTGAAAATTATTGGTGTGCTCCAACTTACAATTTAGATAGACTTATTGTTCATGCATTGTTTCCGACTTAAAAAAGTTATATCCTTGCACAAGGAACAGTAATATAGGTGTAAATCTAACATATGCTTCTTTTGATTTCTTGAACAGGTGTTATACACACTTGGTGGACTAGAAAACCTTCAGACAGCTAAGAAATACTATGCATCCACGATAGACTTGACTGGGGGCAAGAATACTAGAGCACTCTTTGGCCTCTGCTTGGTGAGCTTTTCTCTTGGCACATACTCTTCAGATGAACTTTGTGTGTATTGGGGACATTAATCTCTGTTTGGCACTTCTTTTGCTGGGTGCTGGCTTTGATATTATACTTTAGGTTTTCGGTACAAGACTGGCCTATTGGCTCTTTAATTTCTTTTATACAATCTTGTGTCTTAATAGTTGATTTCTCTCTGCTCCTCTGTTGTCATCCTGTAGTAATTAACTTTGCTTGACTGAGTTTTAAATCCTGGTTGCCAGTGTACCTCGGCCATTGCACAACTAACGAAAGGACGGAACAAGGAAGATAAGGAGGGTCCAGAGCTGCAATCTTTGGCAGCTGCTGCTTTGGAGAAAGACTACAAACAGAGAGCTCCTGGAAAGCTTCCCCTGCTTGCTTCTGCTTTAAGAAGTTTGAAAATTTCATAATTCACATTGCCTTTGGTGTTCAAGATTCTCATTTCAACTCTAACTAGGGTCACCGGCACAGCGTAGAACAGAAGTGAATTGGCAAAAACATTAGATGGTCATTAATTGAAGCATCTTCTTTCTTTGTTTTTTTCTAAAGGTCGTTAAGACTAGGACATTATGTATTTTTTAGATGCTCCATTGGCAAACTGATAATGTTGTGAGATAAAAATTTTCCCCTGCATAAAGATCAAAGGTTATATTCATTTGCTTTCTCTGCCTCTCATATGTGGAGTTAATCTTGTTTATGTATGCACCTAAATATGGGTGCTCATACCTGATATGTATCAGGATCCTTTGTACGAATTCCTTCTCCTTCAGGATTTTTTCTGATTTACCAGTCCGCTTTTATTGTACCTTTAGGCCAGTTTTGCTCCATAGAAACAAAAATTGCAGGGTTAAATTGATCACATGAAAGCTGTGAATTAAAACTCACGAAATAATACAGCAACAGTGCAGGAATTTCTTTAAGTTGTACAATAGAAGACATAGGAATATGATACATGATATTAAATTTTATGGAATTATTTAGTATTATGAGGTTGGCACCGAAAGATGACACACCTGATACCTACCAGAGGTAGGCATGCTTTTTCTTTTCTTATATTTTAAAACCTTTAATTGGCTCACACTCAGCACAACCAGAACAAACCTCAGCATCTTTGAAGAAAACTTGAGCTTTTAGATTATTACTGAGGTTCTCTTGGGGTGGCTGATGGGAATGTTATCTGTCTCAGAGTCAACCTCCTAGTTCTATACCTAAATTGTGATGATCCTGTCTTGTTATTAGGCGGTAAAATCCTCATACAGTTTGGAGAGGCTGAGTGCACACCACCACCACCAGTAGGTGAGTAATTGCTTTCAAGATTCTTGGGAGTTTCTTCTTCTGGAATCACCTGAAGATGTGTTTCAAATTTGGGCTGATGGAAAAGATTAGATGTTCGAAGCTTTATGCTGGTGGACAGCTTAGGAGATGGACCAAAAGTAGAAAGAGATGATCCTGAGCGTTTACCCCTAAAGATGAACGACAGTCAAGTCGATAGCATGGCAAATAATTAACAACAGATGAAAACTAATTTAGATTGCTGAGATAGGGAACCTGGTAACATCAGAAGGTATCATCAGAAGATCTGGATACTCCTCTTCACCCTTTTTGACCACATTATCAGTTAAGGTTGTGTCTGATTCATTCTTTTCACAGGCTTCTGATTCTTCCCCTTCGTCTTCAGTTTCATCACCTCCTAATGGAACAGAAAGGCAAAATAAGAAACTGCAGTCAGAAATGCGTTTACTAGCAAGTAGCAACCTATTATGTAAGAGTGGGAGAGAAGTTTGTTCCGGAAACAATGTTATAATAAGATAATTGAACAGATTAATAAAACGATTCGTTAACAGATGCATGGGAATATAAAAGAACCAGATTAGCACTTACCATCCTTTCTTCCATAAGCATTTTTACATCCTTCACATCTGCAGCTTATAGAGCATCCAACACCGCCCTTCATGCACAAACAACAGTGTTGATATCAGATGGAAACCTTTTAGAACTTATACTGAGCTAAAAAACAAAAACCTGAAAGCATTCGCAGTATTTTTTTAAGCAGCTTGATTTTCTGCAGTTGCATCCACTCTTATGCCTGGCTGAAGCTGGAGTCTTGTTAATTTCATCCTGCATAAATGAATACAGAGTGTGAATTATTAAAGATAATTGTTAATTGTTGAAGGAACCTCATGGGAAAAAGGTCTACAGAAAAGCCATCACAGCCCCAAGCTCACGAATTTTAGCAATGTGGTATTACATTGTGCACTCAAGAATGAGGCCATGCAAAGAATGGATTGTAGTGACTAGTGCTACGATGACTGAAAATAGAATAATCAATGATAACTTCTAACCCCATATTCTGTAACAGAGTCAACACTTTTGATCACTTTTGGAGCAAATGCAAGTGGGTTGCGAGATTCGATCTGTCTACGAGTCTCCATCACAGTATCTTCATAAATAGGCTTGTTAAAGCAATCTAGACATGAACAAGGCTCTACACAGTAGAGACCAGCGGCAAAGCATTCACAGTAACTGTGTCAAAGAACATGAATCATATAAATAAATAAATGAATAACAAATGAAAGGGAAAATGACTGCCTAGTACCCAGTAAATTGATGGAAACTGACATGATAACAGTGACAAGTTGCAAGATGAAACATAATCAAACTTGAACAAAAGAAAAAAGAAAACTATCTTACACACACATATAGACTACTAAACCAAAACAAAAAGCAATAAACTTACAGCTTCAAGCATTTTGACCTCTTACAATTGCAGCGCTTGCAGGCCTTACTTTCATCATCAGGCTCTGGCTTGTATCTGAAAATTATAGTAGTTCAATTCTAAATTCTGAGCAAAAGAATTTCTGATCAGATGTCCAAAAGTAGTTATTGCTATACATACCTCTTTATCTTGGGATCAGAATGGTTGAATTCTTCACCACCATCACTTGGGCATGTTTGCAGAGCATTTTCCATCACCTTAAATTTATGGTCACAGGGAAATGAATCCCTTTCCATGGAGTGCAGAGTCGACGATTCATTAAGATTTTGACTGGATGTCACAGAACCAACAGAGGACATGGAACTTGTCATACTTATTAGTTGCCTTCCAGAAGGTAGAGTTCGGCACTTGACAATCTTGCCATTATTTGAAGTAGCTGCAAGAGCATTTAAGTGCAATCCAACACCCGGTAATATGGACGAAGAGTAACCACTTTCCCTCTTACCTGGGACCAACTGCTTTCCTACGCATGCAACTTCATGATCAGATTGTAACTGGATTGAAGTACAGTTAGACTCATTTTCAGCTTGCTTTTTGAGACCCGCTGCCTTCTCAAAAACCAGGCAACGCCTTCGTATCTTAAGCTGCTGCAGGAAATCAGGTAAAACATGGGAAAAAATTATTGATACACTCACTGTGACCGCCAATAAGCGTTCCCCTATGCAAGGCTCTTGAGAAAGCATTAAATTGACTTTCAGACCACTTCATTGCTAGTAATATTTCAAATTATAGTAGTACAAAACATGATATTTGAGAAGCAAATCACCATGATTAGCTGGTATTAGTAAAAGTTCCAAGTTGCGTTCATATATGATAAAATCATGTGGAGGTGGCTGACTGTTTTCCTACATGGGGACCTGTTCAAGTTTTCCTCTAATTATGAAGTAAAAAATTTGCTATGCATGTATAGACTTGAGAACTCTCATATTTCCACATTAATTTCTCTTCCCATAATTCACCTGATACAAACTACTGTAACTTTCATTGCATTCCATTATAGATCTACTTCTAGATAGTGTATTTTTCTAATTAAATATCAACAATCCAGAGAACTGAAAGAGGGTACAACTCTTAATATTAAAACAGATTCAATGCAATTACCATACACTGACAATGATTTTGGTTGACCTATTTTTTATTTTGACAAATAGGGCATTGTTATTAGAGGTTCTGCTAGATATAATCAACAGAAAACACAATTCTCACAATTCATTTCTACTCTAAAAGGCAACAGAAGAGCCACAATAACTGTTCTTGAAGTCAGATATCGTTTTTTATAAAACACTCTTGAGGGACAGTAAAGTCATAAAAAATGAAAATAAAATAAAAATTACACTTGGAAAGTAATGATAAGTCAATTATAACAAAAGATATTCCAGATAATTTCCTATTCTGTAACACTGAAAATTGTTGTTTCATCAATACAACAGCTATACCGTTTAGACCATTCATGAAGGTAATTATGCAAGTAAATTCACCATTGAATTGTCACAAGGAAAAATATAACGAATAGAAGGTGGTATCTATCAAGAATAAATTGTATATAAGATGTGCAACTCCTATTTGAAAATAGTTTACAATAAATCTATCTTTTTACCTTGCAGCTAGACTGGCCACACTTTTCTCCCTTGTCATCCACTTCTGTTCTGGACTCACTAACAACTAACTTATTCAGAAGAGTGCTAGAAAGAAAATCAGGTGTCTGATCCAAATCCTTCAGTTCCCCGATTTCTCCAGTTTGAGTTACTGCTTCTCTTATTTCACTCTGTTTGCAAGAACCACTTGGACCGGTAGATACCGTTTGCTCTAAATCATTGGAATTATCATGAGGGGGATGTAGGGCTGTTGAGATGAAAGACACCATTCCAGGATCCACTGTCGTCTGGTCTTTTTCCTCAAAATTATACTCAACAATGGATGGATTAGAGTTTAGAAGATCAGAGACATCAGAAATCAATGAGCTCCAATCACTTTCTGCTACTTCTTCACTTTGCTCAATTCGAAGAATTTTACGCAAATTTATTTTCGTTTCAAACTGGTGTCTCCCTCTCAAGTCATCCTCATTGGATTGAATAAATGATGGTCCAGCTGCCATTTCTGGCTCTTTGCTTGTCTGCATTGCATCACGAGACACCTTGTTACTAACGGGGCTACTACAATCATATTTCATTGTTTTTGACAACTCAATAGCTAAGCCCAAGGGTTCATTAAGTGGCTCAAGAGTGATCTCTCTAGCAGGATTCTGTGGCATAAGACATTCCAGTTGTTGGGCACACCTAACAGATGGTTGAGCAACTTCTGAATCCCCTTCACTTGGTTTGTTTTCATTTCCACAGAGAGTATGCTCAGGCTTCAATGGATCTGGGGATTGATTACTATAAACAAAAACAACATCAGTTGAAAGTCCAAAACGATTATTTATTATGGGATGAAATGAAGCAAGAATGAATAATTAGTTTTACCTTTTAGGTAAAAATCTAGATTCTCTGAAGGAACTGAACTGCGGTGAAGCAAACGCAGATGAAGGAGAAGTAAAACTCAGCAAGTTGAATGAGTGACCAGTGTGTACGGATTTAACCGGCTCAATGGGTGAAAGATTGTTGATGTAATTAAAGACAGGAGAATCCTACATGTTGACAAGCATTTTCTATCACAACATAGCCTTAAAAACATAGTCAGCAATAGATTATCTTAACAGTTAACAACAAATCCTAATCACAAACACAGAAATATGAATTTTGCCAAGCAAAAATCAAATGGGTCCAAGCCGGACAAGGCAAAAGAAAAACGGCCCATTTTAAATTAATGCTTGCTTAATAGGACACAGTAACAGAAAGGCAATTATGGGAATGTCCACAAGAAAAAGCACAAAAGAAACATCCTGCACATTTAAAGGTTTCCTCACTATAGAAATTCATCATAGCATTTCAAATTTTTTTTCTGTGCATGAAACCTGAAAACGAACATTTTCGTTTGCTTAAATCACAAAAAATCTTATCGCATCAGAATAATTCAACTAAATCAACGATGACAAGACCTTAACCGTACACACAATTAAAGCAGCTTGTACTTCAAAAGCCTCATCAAATTCAAATAAAAATAAAAACCAACAAAAACCCAGATGCCAAATCATAATCAAAACAAAAACCCAACGCCAAAACCTCACAAATTGTGTCATTCTCTCGAAACTGAAGTAAATTCACAAAACCCAAAACAAAAAATGGAAGGGTTTGACAAATTTACCTCAAACTTGGACAGCGAAGTAGCAGTAATTCGGTTCTTATCTGGAGTATCCATCTGTAGTTGCTATTAAGTCCTTGCTGTAGCTCCTCCTCTGCATATTTTTCCACTGAAACTCGCAGCTTAACACTTTTACTTTCTAGTTTCTAGTTTCTACACAAAAGCGTTTCGAGAGGCGGGAAGGCGGGAAAGAAGAAATTAATTTTTTTCTTGGGTTTGGTAAACCCGGGCCCAGAACCGGGCCCAATCTCAGCCTCATAAGTCATAATAAATACTATTAATTTTGAAAAATTGGAGGAAAAAAAAAAATTAGTCTAGAGAACCCGTCGCTTTTATTTGCCAAGTTTATTTGCAATGTGATACCATTACAACTAGGAAACCAAGAGTGCGTTTAGTTTATTATTTTGGATAAAATTTTAGAGATAGTACTGGATAATTGAATAAAGTGATTATTACGAGGTAAAATTTAAAAATTTATTAAAAAATCTCATAGATTTGCTAATTTAAATAAACACCCCAATATATAAAAATTTTATAAAATGACAAAAACGTCTCCACCCACCAACAGTGCCAGATTCCGGCCACCACCGACGGAATCTGATCGGAATCTGGTGTTATGACATAGATTACGTGGATCTGGCCGAATGTGCATCGATCTGGCATTTTCCGGCCAGATCCACCACGGCTGCAAAAGGCCAGATCTGGCCGTCAGTAAGATCCACTGTGGATCTAGCCCGAAAAGGCCAGATCGGCGAATTACCGACAATTTCTGATCGTTTTTAAGCCGTTGTAACAGATTCCTGTTACCACCGACGGTGGTTACCGGAATCTGGCAACTATGGGTGGGTAGGGGTGTTTTTGTTAATTTTTAAACCTTTTTTCTGGGGGTATTTAATGAAATTAATAAACTTTAGGGGTCTAAAAGTAATTAAAAAATATAATAATATTTCCTAGGTAATTAAACAAACAAATATTTTGAGAATAAGATTGGGAATATGGATAGAAATATTAAACCAAACGCACCAAATTATCTTACAATTAGGAAACGCATAATTATCATATTATATATTTAAAATTTTTGGTTTTAATAAATACCAATTACAATAAGTTTCTAAACCTACCCAGTAATGAGTTCACTTAACATAGAGCCTCTATGACTGCTAGTTTCCTAGCCACTCAAGGTAACGCGAAAAACTATCTCTAGATAATCGAGTGGTACGATAGAGACTCTTAAATGTATCACTCAATTAAGTCTTGAGTGATACACTTAAGAGTCTTTATCGTACCATTCGATTATCTAGAGATAGTTTTCCGCGTTACCTTGAGTGGCTAGGAAAATGAATTGTTTTACTAGTAGTCGTAGAGGCTCTATGTTAAGTGAAGTTTTGAGTTCGAGTCTCTCTTCGATTGTTAATAGGAGTACCCACTGAAGTTTTTACCGACTAATACTTCTAAGGACTCGGAGAATTAGTTCATGAGACACGCGAAAGCCATTCATTAAAAAAAAAAAAAAAAAAAAAGAAAAAAGCAAAACCAAACCCAACACAAAAATCACCAAAAACTTTCAATCAGTTGGAAGAAATAAAAAGAAAGCCCTTGAGCCTCCAAATCGGACATTTGACAAAGGCAAGAGTAGCTCTGAAGTGGATTTCGGTGAAACTGCTATAAAAAGAGAAGTGGGTTCTGAAAAACCAACTGATTAGGGTGAAAGGGAGAGGCTAGTTATAAGGTTGGAAGCTTACAACAGATGGGAGGGAAAAGATAATCAAAGATTAACTCTGAATGGAAAACCATGCGCAAACTTGGAAGATAATGGTGATCGTGAAGCAAAGACTGAGAGAGATGTATCTTTTATTACTGATGTGTTTAATCTGATATTGAAAGACATGGATAAGAATGGAAGGAGTATTTTCAAGAAGCAATGACAGAAAAGCTGAGGAGGAAACATGGAGACAAAGGTTTAAGATATAGACTCCCGGGTGGAAGCCAATCGGCAAATCCTAAATTTCACTTGGGGGTTGGGGCGGGAAGATGTTAAACTCGTTGATTCTTCTTTTATTTAATAAAGAGTAAACGACTTTTTCTTACCTAATAATACTTTCTCATAAAAAAAGTTTCGAAATACTACTTTTTCACCCAATGTTTATATTCCGTTAATACTCAAAATACACGTCATTTCCTCAGTCGGCATCGGCAAGTTACCAGAAACTAGGGTAAGAGGTTTTTTGTAGGGTTGATGCTGGTGGATCAAATGGTGGGAACCGATTGAATATTCGTCACTAGAAATAAGCTCAGAATAGGAAACTCTAACTTTACAGTGGCCGACAATCGATGAGAAATCAGATGTCGGAGTAAGATGAGTTTTATATAGAAGAGACCCAAGTTTCAAATAGTGGTTACAGAAAGAATTTCGCCACCGGAATCTGTCAAAATCGGCTTTCGGTAGTAATGGAATATTAACTTTGGGTGGGAAAGTGTCACTAACGCAAACCTTGGGTGGGAAAAAGTCGTTTACTCTTTAATAAATTGCTGAAGATTTAATCCATTTCCAAACACTTAAGTTATTGATGGAGAAATATCTTGAAATTATAATAGAAAGTTTAAAAAGATTTTGTAATGAATTAAACTTGTAAATGGTCTTATATAACCAAACTTTAGTAACAATATAGCCATTCTTTTTCCGAAAAACTAGCCCAAGCTTAATTAGTTTTCTCACGGCTACACGATTGGAATCATCTTTCGCATAGAATTCTTTCAGAAACTTCGATAAGATTTTTATTATTTGATCAAATTTCAGATAATTAAATCAGTAAATTATCTGTTAAATATTGATTTTGAGTTTAATTAAAATACAATAATGTGTGTCTTATTAGGTTTAGGAAACATCAAGCTTATCTATATATATACATATAACAACTCCCATAATCTCACTACAACCCTAATTGATTCTCATCATTATTTTCTTCTTCGTGCAAATTCAGAATGGTGAAGATAAAAGTTCACTATCCCTCTCTTTCTCTTCAGAATCATTCATCTAATTCACACAGAGCCACTGGCACTGCCACCGCCGGCAAAAGTATTCGTTTTCCATGCCACCCAAGTAGAGTCGGAACCAAACCCAACACAAAAATCAACAAAAACTTTGAATCGGTTGGAAGAAATAAAAAGAAAGCCCTTGAGCCTGCAAAACAGGCATTCGAGAAAGCCAAGAGTTGCTATAAAGTGGATTCCGGTGAAACTGAGGTGAAGAACGGTTTGCAAAACGCTACTGCCATTGCAGTCAAAGGGTTAGATGCTGAAGTGGGTTCTGATCAAAACGCCGCTGATCAGGGTGAAAGGGAGAGGCTAGTTATAAGATGGAAACTTACGGCAGATGGAAGGGCAAAGATAATCAAAGATTCGAATCTGAATGGCAAACCACACGCAAACTTGGAAGGTGATGGTGATCATGAAGCAAAGACTGAGAGAGATATATCTTTTATAACTGGTGTACTTGATCTGATATTGAAAGATATGAACAAGAAAGGAAAGAGTATTTTCAAGAAGCAAGACAGAAAAGCTGTGCAGGAAACATCGAGGGAAAGGTTTAAGATATGCACACCAAGGTGGAAGCCAATCGGCAAACCCAGAATTTCACTTGGAGCTCCAGGGTTATGCTCACGCTCTCAGTTGCATACACGAAAGTTCCTAATTTTGTTATTAGCAAATTGTAATGTCTCTTAATTTTTTGAGAGGATCTGGATCTCCATAAATCTGTCCAAAATTATACAAAAAAATATATAGCAAAACATATTTACCTATAACGATATCAAGATATAGACTTGATCGATCAATAAAAACTTGTGGTTAGACAAAGAAATAATTAATGATAGTCTCTTTCTCAATGAGCTATACTGCAAAATTAATGAAGTTAAAGATATTGTAGTAATTAATGGTGTACAACTTGAACGTACATGATAGGTTATAGAAATTAAAAGAAAATCCTCTCTCAACAATGGTGTTGTAATAATAATATGTATACTATTAATATGCTTTTATATAGGCTAATTGATATTGTATTAAATTCAGCATCACTATTTTAACAAACTGAGATTACATAGATCTACCAACACATGAAAGAATTATCTATAGAAGGCATGTTATTTTAGCAAGATGAGTGGCTTAAGGGGTTGTTGTGCAACTTTTAAATGTACTTGCTCGTCCCGAGTAAAGAAATATCAGAAAAAAAACTCAATAATCATCGAGGATTCGCAGCACTTCAAAATAAAGGAAGAAGGCAAACATGCTTTAAATAATTTCATGCATCCAAACATACAATCCAGCTAATTGTGCAACTCTATCTTTCCCAACCCAGTCGTGCTCACCAAGACTTTATATTTTACCCCCTGCTATTTTCTCTTTTTTTTTTTTTTTTCCTAGGCTTCTTTAGATTGTCGCATACCTTTTTACACCGAATGCACACATTGTGATGAATGCCCCCGTTACTCAGCACGTCACAACACATAAAGTGTTTTGCATACTCATAATTCAAGCTACAGTTTGACGCAAAAGCAAACATGGGTCTTATGAATACTCTGGTTACTAAGTAGCTCGAATAGCGGAGTAGTTCATTCAAAAAAAAACAAATAAGCATAGTTAATTTATTTCAAGACTGTATATGCACACTTTTTTTTTTTTTTTTTTTTTTTTTTTTTTTTTTTTTAAGAGGGTAAGGAGTGAAGACAAGGCTCGGCTGGTACACAACAAAATCATGTAATCAACCATAATTGCATAACCATCTAGAATTGCATACTCTTCAGCATTTCCTAAGATATGACCATGTTTGAATCCTTTCAGACTTGATACTATCACTACTCCAAGTGATTACCAAGTTCATACAAAGAGCAAAAAAAATTTTCTTGGGGATATCACAAAGTTTCGTTTGGGATTGTATCAACAGCATAAGCATACTACCCATACAACAAATACTAAATACAAACCAAACAAAAATAAGATAAAAAAAAAAAAAAAAATAAGAACTTCCTAAAACAAACACACCAAACAATGAAATAAACCATCAATAAGGCGACACAAAAACAAACCCCCACTCCCCCAAACTTAAAAGATGCAATGTCCTCAGTGCATGAAAACAAAAAGAAGAAGAAGAAAAAAAAAAAAAACCTGAAAAATGAGAGACAGAAACTTCCCTAAAGCGGAGGACAAAACTACTAGGAATTTGGGCTCATAAGGTGGTCAAATGTGGCTCCACGAATGAGCAAGCAGTCATTGACAATTGTGATGATAGGCTTTAGGTTTTTTTTTTTTTTTTTTTTTTTATGCCACGGTTGTGTAAAGTGACACGGGGTACCTTGTGGTGAAGGCTGGACTCTGCAAGCTTTTTATCCTTTAACATGACCCTTTTATAAGTGGACCGGCCTCCAATCTTGCTACAATCTCAATTAGGTGCTTATTCTCCCCTCCATCTTCTTTTGAATCAATTAAGCAAGTTTCTAATGGATCTTCATACCTGTTATCTTGAAAATACTCATGAACCAAAGGATCAAAAGCATCGATTCTAAAGCACGTGTTATCTTCTAAAGGGTGTTTTACAGTTTTAAAAACATCGATTTTTACTTTTTCATCTCCTACCCTAAGAATTAGCTCACCTCTTTGCACATCAATCAATGCCTTACCCGTGGCTAAAAATGGTCATCCAAGAATGAGAGGTATATCAACATCTTCTTCCATATCCAACACAAGAAAATCTGCAAGAAAAATAAACTTATCTACCTTGACAAGCACATCCTCCACAATACCTCTTGGATATTTAATTGATCTGTCAGTCAGTTGTAGAGATACTGTGGTGGCCCTTGGTTCTCCAAGTCCCAATTTTCTGAAAATAGATAAAGGCATTAGATTAATGCTAGCACCTAAATCACATAAAGCTTTGGAAGATGAAAGTGAACCAATAATGCAAGGTATTGTAAAACTCCTTGGATCTTTTAATTTTGGTGGCAATTTATTTTGCAAAATTGCTGAACATTCTTCAGTGAGTTTTACTGTCTCTTGCTCTTCCAGTTTTCTCTTGTTGGAAAGGATCTCCTTCAAGAACTTTGCATAGCTAGGCATCTGAAGAAGAGCCTCTACAAATGGAATATTAATGTGCAATTTCTTAAAAATATCTAAAATTTTTGCAAATTGCTGATCAATTTTCTGCTTCTTCAATGCAAGAGGGAAAAGAGGCTGAATCACTATCTTCTTAGGTACAAACAACTTCTCAGCAATGCTGTCTGGTTGCACTTTAGGTGCTTCCTCTTTCTCTTGTTCTTTATGCCCAATTTCTTTGACATTCTTTAGTGTAATTGCCTTCACATGCTCCTTTGGATTCTTCTCTGTGTCACTAGGCAACGTTCCTTGGGCTTTCCTTGATATCAAATTTGCCAACTGCCCCATCTGAGTCTCCAAATTTCTGATCGAAGCTTCTTGATTCTGAAATCTTGCTTCAGTGGAGCTTACAAACTTTGTCACAAGTTCCTCCAAATTGGGCTTCTTTTCTTGAGGAAAACTCGGAGGTGGTGGTTTCATTGCATTTTGATTGCTCCATGAAAAATTGGGGTGATTTTGCCAACCAGGGTTGTAAGCACCGGAGTAAGGATTATCCTGTTGTTGCCTGTGAAAATTACCAACATAATTAGTACTTTCAGTAGAATTAGCAAAAGGGTTACCTACTTGACATTCATTGCTAAGATGGTCTCCTCCATATAGATCACAACTTGTGCTCTTCACTTGCATGATTGGGGCACTCATATTACCAATCTTTTTGTTCAATGCTTCCAATTGAGCAGAAATTGTTGTGATTGCATCCACTCCATATAATCCTGCTGTCTTTCTTTGTGGCGCTTTATCAGACTGCCATTGGTAACTGTTTGAAGCCATCTCATCCAATAATTCATACGCTGCTTCTGGTGTCTTCTTCATTATAGTGCCTCCTGAAGCTGCATCAATTATAGAACGATTAGCAGGAATTAAACCATTATAAAAAGTTTGTACCTGTAACCAAATTGGTAATCCATGATGCGGGCATTTCCTCAACAACTCTTTGTAACGCTCCCATGCTTCATATAATGACTCTCCATCTACCTGCATAAAATTAGTGATATCATTACGCATCCTTGCAGTTTTAGAGGGAGGAAAATATTTAGCTAGAAAGCGCTGAGCCAATGCATCCCAAGTTGTAATAAATTCTGCAAGCAAAGAATTTAGCCAATTCTTGGCTTTATCTCTTAAGGAAAAAGGGAACAGTCTCAATCTAATTGCATCGTCTGTGACACCATTCTGCTTGAATGTATCACATATCTCCAAGAAATTTCCAATGTGAGCATTTGGATCCTCGTGGGCTAAACCACTGAATTGGTAGGCTGACTAAATCATCTGAATAATCGTAGATTTAATTTCAAAGTTATTTGCTGCAATGGCTGGCCTTCTAATGCTAGAAGCAGTGCCTCTCAATGACAGCATTGTATAATCCATTAAAGAACGTGGAGCTGCACCGTCTTCGAGATTCTCCAAAAGTAGAGGATCCTCTTGATTATTATTGTTGTCTGTCATATTCCTTGTTTGCCTTCTTCTCAATGCTCATATTGTTCTCTCAATTTCTGGATCAAAAGGTTCAAGAATCTCCAATCTTCGTCTAGTGTGTGTTATACACTGGAAAATCTGAAAACAAGAGAACTTGAAAAAGAAAAAATTATATAAATATAAAAAAAAAATGGAACAAGATCTAAAGTAAAGCTAAACTAATGATTTCAATATTGCCTACCTATAATCCCCGGCAACGGCGCCAAAAACTTGTTGTGTCGTTTGCAACAACTACTAGCAAGTATACTAGTCTCAAGTAATATAGTATAATAAAATACAGGTTATCGTACCCAAGGGATTGCGTAAACAAGTACTGAAAAATTAATTAGTCTTAAGTTTATCTAGATAATCAAATCTTAGAATGGTGATCTTTAAAACTAAAAATATTAAAATCTAAAATATTAGAAACGAATTGCAGTAAAACTAAAATTAAGAATTCAATGAGAGAAAATGGCTAAGACTTCAGGCTCATCTATGACTTCTCTGCACCGCTCAATTTACTATGGTCAATGAATTTATTTAATTAATGTGACAAAGGGTTTTCCTAGATTAACCAATATTCTTTCTCAAGCAATATTAATTCTACTTCTATTTCACAACCTAGATATCTCTATATAGATTTAATGAAATAGATGAGCATTAAGCTTTGTGAAATCCTCTAGCTTTCAACACAAGTTAATCATGCCTATGACTATTGCATGTATCAATTCATATATCTCTCTATCCAATTAATCCATAACCTATATTACTAGAGCACTCATGTGATATCTCCTCTCGGTCTCAATCACACAAAACAATTCTATCAGAAATTGATCAAGTTCCTAATAGCATTAAGCACATAATATAAACTCATCATTAGAAAAATAATTCACTGACCAAAGAGTAAAAGATTGATCACAGATCCATAGATAGACTAACCCTAGTCTTAGCCTGAGAAAATTAGTTCATAATAAAAGAAACAAGAATATAATCCAAGAAATAAATCATATTGAAAAAGTAAAAACAAACTCTTTGATGAATTTTATTCTTGATTCTCCTTTCTCTTTTGTTACACAATAATCTCTCTCCAAGAATGGGTAAAATTCAGCCTCCCAAGGAGTAATCTTAATTATCCTTAAATACCCAAAAGAGTCCTAAACGAAAAAGGAAAGAAAAACTAATAAAAACCATAAAAGTGCCCGACACGACCCAGACCGTGTCTAAATGTACGTCACCACAGCCTAGGCTATAGTGTTTCCTGTCCTCATTATTTTATCTTCATTCCACCACCACGGCCGTGGTAAACCACCAAGGCAAGGCCATGACCTTCAAACTTGTCAGCTAATCTCAATTTTTTCAAGCTTTGAATTCCAATTTCATTCCAATGTTCCAATCTACTCAATTAATGCCTGAAAATTACAAAAATTCTTCAAATCAATAGCTGACCATTCATATTTCAAACTTAACAAAAATTAACATCAAAACACAGAAAACAAATGAGAAATTAACTAGAAGGCTATAAAACAAACCTAAAAACACTAAATTTATGCAACTTATCAGTACTCGCAAGCTTACTGAGTCTATCGGGGTATAGAAATATAAGCAACGAGGTCGAACCCACAAGGATTGCAAAGCCTAGAAAGTTTAATTTATTCTTAACAAATTATATTTTCAGTCTAAAATAATGAAATTGAAGAGACAATGTAAATAAAAAAATTACTGTAGAAAAAGAACTCAAGGTATTGAAACTACCAAGGTTTTAGAATCCACCATTGAGGAGAAAGAAGTTCTGGTGCTATTTATGCAAGAGTGGCTTAAGGGGCTAATAACTCGTCATAAAGTGAAGGGTGATGCTGATGCCTTTAATGGCCGGTAAGCCTACCGATGGGCTGACATCCTTGAGGACGTTCAGTCTAAATCTAAGACATAAATGTAATAATTTGGAGAAAATAGTTGTTTAACTCACCAACCCTTTTGCTCTCTGGAAATTTCTTCTGCAAAACCTTAATGCAGTCCTGTGAAATTAAAGAAAGAATCTCATAAAAACAACCTACCAATAAGCAAAGTACATAAGTTGGAAAAATGCAACATCAAGGCAATGATAAAGAAAAAGGACCAGTTTACAGAATCAAAAAGCTAACTTAAGGAAGTAGGCTTGAAGTAGAAATTTTGTCCAAACAATACAAAAATCAATGTGAAATTATGATTACAATGCATTTCCAGCAGCAGATAGCCATTGCAACACAATATCCAGAAGTAGAAACCACTTTTGTGGTTCAACTAGCATTTCTGAGAAACTAAATCATGGAACTAAACCAAATCTATAATCACTTTGTTACAGTACACAAAAAATATTGAAAAGAATCCAAAAAGGAAAAACTTAAAAAGGGAAGAACAAACCTTCGCAACATCAAGACACTGACAGTCCATAGCTGCAATTGATACCTGCTCATACAGTGTCCATTCTGCATCAAAAAAAAAAAAAAAAGTATTTGTTGGTCAAAATTATTTGAATGGATGAAAAGCAGTACAACAACCAGAAACAGCTAGCAGGCAAATATATTATATTGATTAAACACAACTAAAACAACAATTTAAAAAGTTATATTGATGAAACACAACTAGAACAACAATTTAAAAAGTGTTAATTGAGCCTATACTATGAATCACAATTTGGCAAAATAATAGAATACTGTATCCAAATTGCAGATTGAACTAACTACCAATTGGATCCATAAAGTGGTCATCCAAGTAATCCTAAAGATACAAAATCTTAAAGTGTATTAAGGAAAAAGGTTCTCTCTCCTTTTCTGCTTCTTGATTCTCCTTGACCTTTTACCACCAATTTCACATCAAAGGCTTAAGATCCAATTTCACCATTTACGGCCAGATCTTTGGCCATCGTTAACGACCGAATGTTGCAATATCGACGTACAATAGGCCAAATCCAGTCGGTCGTGCATCATTACGGTGACTTCCAATCACATTCTAGCAGTGGTGGCCGGCTGTAGACATTTAATGGGTGGGTGGAGGTGTTTTTGTTAATTTTTAATATTTTATTATAAGGGTGTTTATAATTAGCTAATTAACAAACTTGGGAGGTGTTTTTGTAATTTTCACATGCTACTCGTAATAACTACCTAATTCAACTTTTTCAAAAATCTTACCCAAAATAATAAAATAAACTATGTTATTCGTAATTTGTTTTTTTTTTTTTTTTTGTTTTTTTGTTTTTTGAGTTGCATGCAAGACAAATCTAGCTTTTTAATCCTCCCTCTGAAGGATAGTGTTCTAATCATAATATACTATCCGTATTTATTTTTATCTAGGGTAAAATATATAATACAACGTATGTTGTACACTTTTTCTATTATTATTATAACAAAAACTTAAATATACAAAAAAGAATTATGATAAATATATTTCATAAAAATAATAGATTTTCTTACAATTAGAGGTCTTTTAAATGTTTATTGATAGAGAAAGATCTTGAAATTATAATAAAAAGTTTAAAAAGAAAGTATAAATTATATAAAAAAATTTAAAGAATTTTGTAATTAATTAACTTTTAAATGGTCTCATATAACCAAACTTTAGTAATAATATAGCCATTCTTTTTCTCAAAAACTAGCCCAACCTTAGTTTTCTCAGGGCTACACGATTGGAATCATCTTTCGTATAGAATTCTTTCAGAAACTTCGATAAGATTTTTATTATTTGATCAAATTTCAGATAATTAAATTAATAAATTATCTGTTAAATATTGATTTTGAGTTTAACTAAAATACAATAATGTGTATCTTATTAGGTTTAGGAAACATCAAGCTTATCTATATATATACATATAACAACTCCCATAATCTCACGACAACCCTAATTGATTCTCATCATTATTTTCTTCTTCTTGCAAATTCAGAATGGTGAAGATAAAAGTTCACTATCCCTCTCTTTCTCTTCAGAATCATTCATCAAATTCACACAGAGCCACTGGCACTGCCACCGCCGGCAAAAGTATTCGTTTTCCATGCCACCCAAGTAAAGCCGGAACCAAACCCAACACAAAAATCAACAAAAACTTTGAATCGGTTAGAAGAAATAAAAAGAAAGCCCTTGAGCCTGCAAAACACACATTCGAGAAAGCCAAGAGTAGCTATAAAGTGGATTCCAGTGAAACTGAGGTGAAGAAAGGTTTCCAAAACACTACTGCCATTGAAGTCAAAGGGTTCGATGATGAAGTGGGTTCTGATCAAAACCCTACTGATCAGGGTGAAAGGAAGAGGCTAGTTATAAGATGGAAAGTTACGGCAGATGGGAGGACAAAGATAATCAAAGATTCGAATCCGAATGGCGAGCCACGCGCAAACTTGGAAGGTAATGGTGATCATGAAGCAAAGACTGAGAGAGATATATCTTTTATAACTGGTGTACTTGATCTGATATTGAAAGATATGAACAAGAAAGGAAAGAGTATTTTCAAGAAGCAAGACAGAAAAGCTGTGCAGGAAACATCGAGGGAAAGGTTTAAGATATGCACACCAAGGTGGAAGCCAATCGGCAAACCCAGAATTTCACTTGAGGCTCCAGGGTTATGCTCACGCTCATCAGTTGCATACACGAAAGTTCTTTAATTTTGTTATTAGCAAATTGTAATGTCTCTTAATTTTCTGAGAGGATCTGGATCTCCACTAAATCTGTCCAAAATTTCATACAAAAAATATATAGCAAAAACATATTTACCTATGACGATATCAAGAGATATATAGTACTTGATCGATCAATAAAAACTTTTGGTTAGACTAAGAAATAATTAATGATAGTCTCTTTCTCAATGAGCTATACCGCAAAAATTAATTAAAGTTATAAGATATTGTGGTTAATGGTGTACAACTTGGACATACATAATAGGTTATAGAAACTAAAAGAATAATCCTCTCTCTAAACAATGGTGTTGTAATAATAATATAGGTAATACTTTACTGACAAACTCTTCA